TAAACTCTCAGAAATGAAAATATAGAAAGATGTGGTGTGAGAGGTATGAGCTGAGCCTCTGGATTTATAGAAAATTTTGGCCAGATAGAGATGCCACGTGGCTTGATTTGTTTGGATGAAAATCTTATCTGAAATTTGAAATTCATCCAAAATTTGAAATTTGAAATTTATCTGAAATTTGAACCCAAATTTATCTGAATTTTGAATTTTGAAATTCATCCGACATTTGAACACAAAAATCTTATCCGGAAATTTTATTCGATTATGAATAGTCTTGACATGTAGGAACCCGAAAATCTTATCCGAATTAATTATTGAGGTAAAAAAATTTGTGAAAAAAACAAAAAAATGAATAGTAATTGCCCCTAGCCATGGCAACGGGTGGAAACACAAAATACTATTTGCAAAGGCAACTACTATTCACGTGAATAGTGGCTGCCCTAGCTCCCCTCTTGCCATGGCAAAGGGCAAATGGATGGAGTTGCTCTAAGGTCAAGATAAAGCTCAACCGTCAAATGTTTGACTTGGGTAACTGAATTTTAAAGACTGATGATCGCCTAAATACTAGTTAACCAAAAATAAAAAAATTAAATAAAAAAATCTAATCCACATTCTATAATAGTATTATGAGCATTCATCTCATCTGGCTGGGCCCTTTCACCCTCTTTCTCTGCACCCAAAAAGCCAAAAATAATGATATTTCTTTCCTCTTTCTCTTTAAAAGTTCAAATTTAAATATCCCACTAATCACAGTCATAATATATAATATATGACACCCCCCCACTATGTTCCATAATGAGTGTACGTTACTTTCTCCCATAAATTCAAATTTTTAAATGGGATGAGATGAGACCAGCTCAGATTTTAACCAACCAAGACTCCAGCTTTTCCCCCCTGTAATTCCAATCAAATCGAAGCCCAGATCCCAGATTTGTATAACACAACAACAACCATCATCTTCTTCTTCTTGTTATTTTTTTATTTTTATTTTTTTTAAAGACAGGGCAGCAGAAGCAGCAGCAGCACTACCACCTTTCACTGGTGGAACCCATCAAGCATTTAACCAACCAAGACTCCAGCTTTTCCCCCCTGTAATTCCAATCAAATCGAAGCCCAATTATCCACAGATCCCAGATTTGTATAACACAACAACAACCATCATCTTCTTCTTCTCGTTATTTTTTTATTTTTATTTTTTTTAAAGACAGGGCAGCAGAAGCAGCAGCAGCAGCACTACCACCTTTCACTGGTGGAACCCATCAAGCGTCAGCAGAAGATTCTGAAAATTCTCTTCTCTAACTTGGAACAATTAAAAATCCCCACAAAATCAAAAACCCATAATTTAAAATCCAAAAAGCACCTCAAATTCTGATGCAATTCGTTCCCATGGTGCTTGTTATGTAGCTGAAAATGACACTGCCGCTATAGCATTTAGTCTCTAAATGCAGAAAGAAACGCCAGAATGTTGTGCAGAAAGAGTGTCTGCACTGAGGACAGTGGATCGGTGCCTGTGTACCTCAACGTCTACGATCTGACACCTTTCAATGGCTACGCTTATTGGCTTGGCCTTGGAGTATACCATTCTGGTGTACAAGGTTAGTGCTTCTTCTTTACTCATCATCCTGTTCTTTCCTTGCTCTTCTTTCTTTTCATAATCTGAAGTTTTGCTGGTGTGACTTTGATCTGTGCTTGAGTTTGCTTAAGTTATCCTGTAGTTAAATCCATGTTTTTTTTTTGGTTCTCTTTCTTTATACTGGTTTGGTGGGTTTGGTTGGTAGATTCAAGTTTTCTTTGGCTGATGAGGAAATACAGAAAAAAATTGAGTTAACTTTCTGGGTTTTGAATGTTTTGCAAATATAAGATATAAAAATTGGTCTATTCAATTTCTCGAATCCGAAAACATGATTGTTTGTGTGGTTCATAACCCCTTATCAACTTCTGGTAAGAAACCACAGGTTCATGAATTCTCTTTTATTTCCTTTTCCAAATTACAATGAGCTTTACATTGTATTTTGTCTTTTCCTTTTGCATTTGGGATTTGCCCTATCTAATGGTATGGGCAAAAGAAAAGGAACAGAGAGAAAAAATTCCTTTTGGTGTCTTCTTTCTTTCAATGTTAATGGAGGTTTTGATACTTTTGCAGTTCATGGTGTTGAATATGCATTTGGAGCTCATGAGTATCCAACAACTGGAATATTTGAAGGAGAACCAAAAAAGTGTGATGGGTTTACATTTAGGAAATCAATTCTGATTGGGAAAACGGATGTTGGACCTTTAGAGGTGAGGGCAGTGATGGAAGAGCTTGCAGAGCAATACAAAGGAAATGCCTACAATTTGATCACTAAAAACTGCAACCATTTCTGCAATGATGCATGTGTTAGACTGACTGGAAATTCAATTCCAAGTTGGGTTAATCGTCTTGCCCGAATTGGTAAGAATTGGTTTGGTTTATTTATTTATTTTCCTGTTTGTATCATACATTTAAGGTTATGATGTTTGATTTAATTTGCAGGGTTCCTCTGCAATTGTGTTCTTCCTGTGACTATAAATTCAACAAAAGTTCGACATCATCGAATCGAAGAAAAGGCAGATGAAGGAGACAAGAAGAAATTAACAAGCCAGTCAAACAATTTGGCAACGTCTTCTAATTCTTCTTCATCTCCATCATCCTCTCCTTCTGGCACAACAACCCACAGGGGAAGAAGCAGAACAAGGCGCGCTCGTCCTCCATCTTCGCCTTTGATGATTGGTTCTTCATCCTCTTGATGGTTGAGATTTGCAGCACAGTTTTTCATTTTCTCAAATTTTGCTTAAAGGAAAGAAGCAAAGTCAGATTCTTGTTTCTACTTATTTTCTTCATTCTTTTGCTGTGCTCTTAATGCTAACATCTATGTACATTGTGCATGCCTCAATATTTTGGCAAGTGAATATCTGTCTCTGCAAAATTATTTAAGTTGGCCTCATCTTGTTTGGTTTTCTTGTGGTACCTGGCTCAACATTGACGTATCAAATTGTCTTCCTTGGACATCTTGGCTCTTCTTAGGATGATAAATTGACAATGCACACACTTTATGTGGTTTTCTGTCTGCAAGACGTCCGTCCTTTATTAATGGACGGATTTTCAATAAAGTATCGACAAATTATCGACACATTATTGCAAATAGGTGCTGCTGACTATACTTACAGTCACAAAGCAGACTAGTATCCAATTCGCCATTGGTCTAAAGGTGTTGCTTTAAGAAAGTAAAGGCTATATACCAAGTCCGGATCAAGGAATCTGAAAACTGTGTCTGTCTTTCCTTTAATGTTTTCACTTTGGAATAAAAGAAAGCTTAGAAGATACAACCATATGAACCTGTTTTGCTATCCCCAACCAATTATAGACTGTCATGTGGAAAATTTATCATGCGTGGTATGCATGATTGCCTGAGAATAGCAAAATAGTGCTATTCCCATTTCACACAAGTATTTCTCTCGGTTTGGAGCCAAGCCAAGTGTTTAAAGCATGGGCGGAGCCAATGAAGGCTCGCAGTGGTCAAGTGACCCTTCTCAGGTTTAGCATATTTGATCTTTTTACATATTTGTACTTGATTTTTTTAGACAGTATTTCTGAAATTTGACCCTTCTCACCATCTTACCTTTTGAAAAAACTACAAAAGTAAAGATGAAAACTTTTGTCTCCTAACTTATGCTACTTACCTTTTTAATAGTTTCTTTATTAGTAATAACTTAATAATTATTAACCTAATTACCTAAAACTAAAAGCATGACATCTTACCCAGAAAAAAGGAGCTCAAAAGCATGAAAATTCAAATTGAAGATCGCTAACCTATGCTCTGTTGTAAATATTTTGGAATGATATAGAAATTAATACAAAGGATTTTATTATCAGATGATTTGTTTTTGTTTTTAATTTTTTTATGTGTGAATCTTGTAATTTGAGGATGACCCTTCTGGATAGATTTTCTGGCTCGTCATTGGTTTAAAGTATCTTTTCTTGGGAGGAAAATTAAAAAAAGTTGAATGCCCCACACCCACAATGTGCTTTCACGTTCTTTTACTATTCCTGGGTTGGTATTCGAAATGAAATTCTGTCCATGTCTTTATCATAATTTTCTTCCTCATTAAAATGTAGGGCAAATCATGGTGGTCTAGACTAGATGCTCCAAGGACGGGTGTGTGTGCCAAAGCCCCTCCTTATGGTCGAAATCTGTCACTTTCTTCATCCCATTGTCCTCTTTTTCTTGTCTTGACTCAAGTGGGTAAACAAATATAGAACAACTCCTTTGACTTGTGGGAACAAAGAAGGCAACTTTCTGTGCAAAGTGGAGGCCTTCCTTATACTTTACTGGTTTCAATAGTCCAAGAATGAATGATCAGCGTAAAATGGAGGCATTGCTTATGCTTTACTGCTCTCACTAGTCCAAGCGATTATTGTTGTATGATGGGTAATAATATTTTTTGTTGGTTCAAGGAAGTTACTCTAATCCATTGGAAACCTGCCAACTATCAAACATTGACACATGGTGTATATCCGACATACCTAATAATTCCTCCTGACAATATAATACCTAATAACAAAGTAATTTCATTATCATGCTATCTATCGGGTTGCAAAAATCCAGTCCCAAGCTGCGTTATAAAAAGAACAAAACAAACCCCAAAAAGAAAGCTTAAATCAATCTTTCTTCTGGTTTTCAAACAAATTTATGCAACACAATTATGTGCCGCAAGACAAAATTTGGTTCAGTTTTTAGACCATAAAATATAGGAGCAATCTTACATAAATATGCCCAAAAATTCTCGAAGTGGTGTATGTTATTAGATGTTCTTGGCCTTTATACAATGATGCCAGAGAGGCATCTAAATCACGGCTATTATGATTGAAAAGTGCCTCTTTTATTCTATCAACAACATTCATGATACAATCTCCACACTAAAATTGCATAATCCAACGGCCTTAACTTGATCAATCAGCTCAAATAACTTACAACATTATGAATATTCAACAGAAAAAATTATGGAAGCGGCTATAACATTCAACAAGACTATCCCAAGCATATCCATAACACAAACATGCAATTTCCAAAGGTGAGCACTTTGAGGAAGCTTTTCATGTTTGGAAGGAAAAAAAAAACGAAATAAAATTCCTGAAGCCATTTGATTTTGTTGTCTAACTGTCCTGCAAAAAGGCCAATCACAACAAAAATTTGGGTAGGATGTCAAATTGGGAAAACAAGGATTCGGAAAGTACTTCACCAGCAATTGTGGGGTTTACAGCAGAGACTCAAGTTGACCAAAAATTATCAGCTTTGGGTCTGCTTCTCTCGCAGCCATTCGACAAAATTGTCCAAGATCAAAGGCCATGCAAGTTCAGGATCGTAGTTGCTTAGGTCTGGAAAGCTTATCTGTGCAAAGGGTGGCGAGGAGTAAAATATTAGCTTAGAAGGTAATTAACATTTAAAGAAAAAAATAGGAGGCAAAGGGGCCAGCTGATATGCAAAACCAAATGTTAAAAGACTAGTGACATAAGACACAGCTTGATAACCAAACTTCCCACCCTCTTTGCTTTGCAGATTCTGTAATTCAACAGTGACATCAACTATACTAAAGGTAAAGGAACATTGGGCGATATGGAGCAATTGCCCCCTGAAACTGAAAACATCTATTATATTATTGTTCATACTATACCATCCCGCATAGTGGGGATTTAAAAGAAGGCAAAGCAAAAGATATGTACAAAACAAGACCTTCCTTATTTAAGAAGTCTTTGTTTGTCAAAGAAGGGGATTGTTAGAATAGGTTCTCCTGACTGTAACCCCCGCTCCCCTCCCCAACAAAAACAGTGCTGAGCAACAAAATCTGGTTTATAACATGGTAGCTCAGCAAACAATTCACTGTAAGTGGTTCACAGCACATGAGAATACTTATAACAAATCAGGTTGACAGTTGCACTCCTTCGCAGAGATAAGGGTATGACTCAAACTTCAAACTTGGAATTTGAACAAACAGGACTTAGTAGTGTGAGCGTTTGAATGTGCACATGGCATGCACTATAGCACGATGTATTCAAAATGTACCTTGACTTAAATCTTATAAGCTGTATCATATGTAGAAAAATGAACAGAAGAAACAAAGGCAGGAATTTTGAAATCAGTAACCAAAATGTAAGATTACCTCTTCGCAGAACCGGTAAAAGCCCATCCACTGATCCATGTTTATGACTTTGTAATCATTCTGCGTCTGCATTTTGAAAACAAACAAGCACTTAAGAATTTTATTTTTACAGTCCCTTGTCTTTTTTTTTTTTTGGGAAAGGTGTCAATAATTATAAGATATTAGACTACATATGAAGACATCTGCAATTCTTTACTCTCAAATATATAAACCTCATGAGGTCACCAATGACATGATACAAGCAGAAGTCTGGACAGAAGGAACCCCATCATCTTCACTAAAGAGTAGAACATTGCACATACCAATTTTAAGAATCTTTTTACCATTAAGACAGAAAAGCAGTTTGCTAGCTTAAAAATGAAGCAGTGTGATGGTAGGCTGAAAAACAAGAAAGAGGCCTAATTTCTTGATGAAAAATTTCTTATGCTTCAATTGCCGTAAACTCTTTCCTCTTAAGTACACATAAGCTGCAGCTGTATTTACTCTAGCAGTACAAAGGCCCATATACATAAACGAATGCTGTACAATACCACTCACCTTTAAATACTGAACAAACAAGTCAACCTGCGCTTGGTATTGAGATCCTAAAACAACATTTAATAATTCGCATATGCTGTCTATATCTATGCTCTTCTGTTTCTCCTCTGAAAACAAAAATAAAATACAGAAGGTTGAAATTAGCACATGCATAAAGGGTAAAACCAAAGGAAAGAAAAAATGAGGTTTCAATTCAAGATTAAATGACAAGCAACCTTGAGCTCATTACCTGTTAAACAATATCGGAATGAATAGGAATAGAAATCCACAAAGTTTGTTGGCCTCCTGACCTTTTCATGATATAATTAAAGGGAAAAGGATCAGATTCTCTGTGACCATCATATGGATGTGACGAACCAATTAAATTGCCAGAATTTTATAAAAGGAAACAATTTAAAAGATACTACCTCTTTCTCCAGCTCTGGAAGTGTCTTCTTTAACTTATATTTATTGTCCACCCTTAGTGCTGTAAATCCTGTTCGCCACTCTTCCTATCAAAGATGAGATTGGCAATGTCATTCCAAAAAAAAAAAGGAGAGAGAAAGAAACATGAATTCAAATGAGGGGCAAAGATATGGTAGGTGGACAAACACAGTCTGTCCAATAAAAAAGAAATGATGAAGATGATAATTAGAGCCTAAATTACTTTGGATTTAGCTTATTTTTGTAGGGATGACTCTTAAACCGCAAGTTGAATGGAGGATGTGCACACTTTTCTTAAAGTATGGATGTCAACACTTGAACCTCCCTATATATATAGGGTAATGTGCCCTTGCCAGACTGTGACACATTAACAAGATCCCAACAAATCAGTGGTCCAAATTGATAGTCAGGCAACATAACCTGTTAGACTGTATGGGAAGAAAGCATAGCCAAATTGCATCAAGGGTCCCTGTAATTTACTTGGATTTTCACTTTCATCCTTGGTACTTTTTATTTTTCAGTTTCATCCTTGTAGTTTCATTCCATTTAAACCGTAAGTCCAATCCGTCAAATGAGTCAATAACTACCAAGTTGTAGAAAATCTGGGGTTTTCATGCCAAATCCATGATGTTCAATCTTATTTTTTACTCGTAAAATGTAAGTGACACACGATATTATATAGGTTTCAAAGCTTGTAACAATAGCTTTCAGATCATATAAAATATTTGAGGATTGATAACCTATAGTGAGAAATAGAAGCTCAAAAATGATTATTTGGACATAGGAGGTATGAAATGCATCTATGGGTTTTTCTGTGAAATTCTTAAGATCGATTCAAATAACTTGACGTCAGATTTGGCATATGTTGTTAGCATTATTTGGAGCATTAAATCCAATGATACGACTAATTGAAAAGCAATCCAATAACAGGTTTTACTGTGGTAATCAACTCCAAACCAAAGAGCACACACACACACACACACACACATATATATGGGTCAGGATCAAGGGACACATATTTTTGACACACATTTTAAGCCATTAGATTAAAGAATTCTGAATGGCTAGGATTGCATTTAGCATAAATTGTTTACTCTTTTGTAAAGTAATTAATACACCCTGGAAATAGCAAAACGTTTTTCAGTGTTAAATTTTTTTATCTTCTCTCTCTCTCTCTCTCTCTCTCTCCTTGTTTCTCTCCTCTTTTTTAGCATTTAGGTACCCATATAAATTCTGCTGTGTATTGCCAAATAAGCAAGTCGAATCTTCATAAAAGCATTTTGAATTAATCAAACTCTTGCTCTCAAAGATTGTCAGCCTTGAGAATTTTGCAACAGCAAATCTTAGGTTCTTCAATAATTTTGAATTAAACAAATATTTGACAATTTTGAAATAATTTCAGCCTTTTATCTCAAAAGATTTGCAAGAGCAAGAGTTTGAACAGAGCAGAAAATCATTTGATTCTTGAATTTGACAACATCTTTCATAAAAGAAGGAAGAGTCGTTGGTTAAAGAATTTTGCATCAAATTCAGCCTGTTATGATTAAAAGCAAGAGTTTGAGATTTGTTGTAGCTTTTCCTTAAAAATTTGTAGTGGCTGCTGTGTATTGCCAAAGAAACAAATAGAGAGAGAGAGAGAGAGAGCCGCGCGGGGG